TAGGCTATAGGCTTCATCAGCCTAATATGAGGGTAATAATTAACTGTTTTGTAGCTACAAACACTTAAATTACACTTTTATTTATTTTTTTAATAAGAAGATTATATGAAATATAAACATTTAAATGGTGGCTGTCATAAAAACTTGCCAGATTTATTCAAATATGCATTAAATATTGAAGAACATTAATATTATAATGCATGTAATATGGTGTATATATGAAGAGTTCAGATGCAAAAGCCTCTAAGTGCCATTTGAAATTTTCTTCTAGAATGATCATTTTTATCAAGCTTGTATATTTAAGTTCAGTAATTTCACTTAAATGGCAATGAAGATTACCTATTCATTGTCATTTAAGTGAAATTACTGAACTTAAATATGCAAGCTTGATAAAAATGGTCATTTTAGAAGAAAATTTCAAATGGCATTTAGAGGCTTTTGCATCTGAACTCTTCATATTTAGCAAAATGCTCCTCTCTAGAGTTATTTTTTCTAGCTGACTAACGAGTTTATGTGGAGTTTTCTGAGGTAAATATGACGATACATGACATTGATTACAAGCTGTTTAACTGACGTCTTTCCACGGTTGAAACGCTGATTGAGTGAATCAATGTGACATGATACGGATTTCGATAAGTTGTACTCTATCTTTAACACACTTTCAGATGCTCATTCATGTTTGTTTCGCGCTGTGACTGGTATTATTAACCCGGAAGAGAGATCAGCGCTGCTGCTTCTCTTGAGCTGCGCCAGAGTGATCTTACGCCACAGCGCCAAAACGGCAAAACGTTATTTATGTTTTTGAATTTCTAAAGAAAATGGACGTAATTTGAAAATTGAGACTTTGTTTCATATCAATAGTAAAAAAGGACAAAGATTATTGTGATTTTTTGGATGCGCGCAGCCGCGGTACAATGTTTCATTCATTCAAATGAAACAGGATGACTAATCAATTCTTGAGATTAAATAATCGATATCGGTCCGTAAAAATGAGAATCGATTAATATCGAGAAATTGATATTTATTACCCAGCCCTAACGAATAATATATCATGAATTAAGATATTTTTGATGAAATCTCAGAGCTGGATCACTACTAGTCCATAGGCTTCTTGACGGATTGAAACTTGCCGGCCTCGAAAAGTAATTAAAGACATTGTTACAATAAGGGACTACAGTGGCTCAATCTTAAGTTTATCAAATGACGAGAACACATTTTGGACGCAAAAACAAACATAAATAACGACTTTATTTCAACTATTCATTTACTTCTCTATCTGCCTCGAGTCAGGTTACTAGTTTAACAGGGTAAGATCTGTTGTTGTACGTCACACGCATCACACACATGACCAGCGTCGGAAAATAGTGAGCCTACGTGTGACTGACTAGAGTCCATAGAGAAGGAAGAGAAAAGTTGAAATAAAGTCTTTAGGGGGGGGGGGGGCGACGACTATTTTAACGATGTCTTTAATAACTTTTTGAGGCCGGCAAGTTTCAAATCCTCAAGAAGCCTATGGACTAGTATGGAGGAGTGAGACAACTCTCAGATTTCATCAAAAATATCTTTATTCGTGTTCCGAAGATGAACGAAGGTCTTACGGGGTTGGAACAACATGAGGGTGAGTAAATACAGACAGAATTTTCATTTCTGGGTGAACTAACCCTTTAAGTTGTAAAACACCCATAATCATGAGTAAAAGAACAAGCAAAGACATAAAAATGAATAAATGATTGAATAATTCTGTTTTGTTTGACACATTTTAAGATGACATCTGTATAAAACGGTCGTTCTCAAATTCTGTTGAATTAGTTTCTGCGTTGTATTTTTGGTGTTGTTCTGTTTAATTCGATGAACACTGGAAGTGAATTGCTGATTCCTATTCGAGTCATTTCATTCTCACTTTTCAGTTTGTTGCGGTTGACGAATGTATTTTGAAAATTCTCCATGTGAATATTTACAATGTTATATTTTTGTATGGGAAAAAATAAATAAATCAGAAATGTTTCTCGGAAGGGTTTTGCCACAAAGGCGATACGTACATGTATGTGATATACAGTACTGTATGAATCATCATTTTTTATGAACGCTATATGAATACGGCAACACAAACACATAACGCAACAGGAATATGTGCAGACATACACTACTGTTCAAAAGATGTCTGTTAAAGATCACTTCATCTGGAAAGCATCTGCTGTTTGCTAACATCTGATAGACATCTTCAAGATGTCAGTTTAACATGCTTTCTAAATAATTACATCTTAAAGACATCTTCTAAACGTCTATTTGACATCTGACAGGAAACGTCCTATAGACGACGTATTGCAGATGAGCAAACACTGTAAAAAAAGTACGCCTTCCAGATGTAAACACACATCAAATAGACGTCTCTGGGATGCTATCAGGGAATATATCAATTTAAAATAAGATGTTTTTTATGTGAACAACGTAAAATGTCATTATTCCTGTGATCAAAGCATCATTACTCCAGTCTTCTGTGTCACATGATCCTTCAGAAATCACTCTATAATATGATGATCTGATGCGCAAGAAACATTTCTGATTACGAAAACAGTCATGCCACTTCATATTTTTGAGGAAATTGTGTGTATATATGTATATATATTAGGGCTGTGCAAAAATTAATTGCGAATAATCGCATCCAAAATAAAAGTCTGTGTTTACATAATATATTTGTGTGTGCTGTATATAATTATTTTGTATGTATAAATACCTATGCATGCATGTATATACATTTAAGAATTATTTGCGCTTAAATTCTGTATATATATATATATATATATATATATATATATATATACATAATCTATATTATATAAATATAAATATTTTATATATGAATAACACATTTTCTTAAATATATACATGCATGTGTTTGTATTTATATATACAAAATAATTATATACAGCACACACAAATATATTATGTAAACACAGACTTTTATTTTGGATGCGATTAATCGCAATTAATTTTTTCACAGCCCTAATATATATATATATATGAAGAGTTCAGATGCAAATGCCTCTAAATGGCATTTGAAATTTTCTTCTTTAATGATGATTTTTATCAAGCTTGTATATTTAAATTCAGTGATGTCACTTAAATGGCAATGATAATTACCTATTAATTGTTATTTAAGTGAAATTACTGAACTTAAATATACAAGTTTGATAAAAATCTTCATTAAAGAAGAAAATTTCAAATGGCATTTAGAGGCTTTTGCATCTGAACTCTTCATATATATATATATATATATATATATATATATATATATGTGTGTGTGTGTGTGTAGTTTTATTTCAGAATTCTTTGAGGAATAAAAAGTTATAAAGAACCACATTTTTTATTTTTTTTTCCAGTAATGTTATAAAACATTATAAACGTCTGTACTGTCGATTTGGATCAGTTCAATGCATCCTTGCTAATAAGTATTCATTTATTGGTAAGCCTTTTTTTAATAAGGTCTCAAATCCATTTTTTAATTAGTGTTTGGAATATAATATTAAAGAAAATGCAGTGGGAAGATAATGACAGTAGCTTTAATATGCACAAAGGTCGGATGTTCTAAAAATAGGTGTGTGTGAGTTGTGAAGGTCTCACCTCTTTGAGAATGCGCTCATTAAAGAACTGCTGCAGCTTCTCATTACAGTAGTTGATGCAGAACTGCTCGAAACTGTTGTGCTCAAAATACTCTGAGGGAAAGGAACAGAACAATTGGCTTTTACAGTTCGTTAGCTTCAATTCTGATATACGGAAAGCTAAATGGCAAATATTTCGTTACATTTTAGATGTTGTGCTAGTGTTTTTTTGTTGTTTTAAAGATTGAAAGTTCATCCACATGGCATTAAAGGAGTAGTTCACTTTAAAAAAAAACAAACTTTTACTGATAATTTACTCACCCCCATGTCATCCAAGATGTCCATGTCTTTCTTTCTTCAGTCGAAAAGAAATTAAAGAAAGGTTTTTGATGAAAATATTCCAGCATTTTTCTCCATATAATGGACTTCAATGGGAACCAAACGGCTCAAGGTCCAAAAGACAGTTTCAGTGCAAACTGTTCAAAGAGCTTTAAACGATTCCAGACGATGAATAAGGAGCGAAACGATCGCTCAAGTTTTATGAGCTCAAATGCTCGCCTTGCTCGCGTTCGTGACTCTCCTGTTCGAACTGGTTCATTCAAATGAACGAATCTTTTTCTGAGTCAATTCGTTCATTTTGTTCGTTTCGTTCGTAGAATGAACCCAATGACACGAAAAAAAGATTTGGCAAATGAGCGATCGTTTCGCTTGATAATACCCTTTTTCATCGTCTGGAACCGTTTAAAGCCCTTTGAACAGTTTGCACTAAAACTCTCATTTGGACCTTGAACCGTTTGGTTCCCATTGAAGTCCATTATATGGAGAAAAATCCTGGAATGTTTTCATCAAAAACCTTCATTTCTTTTCGACTGAAGAAAGAAAGACATGGACATCTTGGATGACATGGGGGTGAGTAAATTATCAGCAAAAGTTTTTTTTTAAAAAAAGTGAACGACTCCTTTAATGGCTCAGGTGACTCAAAGACGGTCTCGTACCAAAGCCAGCGATGTCCAGCACACCGATGAAGTGAGCGGACGAGTCGAAGGGGAAGCACTGGTTGATTCTGGTGACCACGTGATCGAAGAGACGGCTGTAGATGGCTTTAGCCAGAGCGTCGCGTGCACTAGTGGCCTGCTCCACCTTCAGAGGAACCCTGCAGAAGACAACAAGAGCACCATTACACCATCCGTGTCTCTCACGCTGGGTGTTTAAACTACTCCAGGGAAGCTATTATCTCTGGTAAGGGATTTCCACCGGCGTCCACAGGCACGAGACGTGGCTCTTACTTGATGGCTGTGCCTTTGACGCCCCCTGCAGAGGTGAGCATGACCCTGGAGGTCAGACTGACCCGCAGATCTTCCTCATCCAGACCCAACAGCTCGGCACAGAACTGCAACGACTGGCCACACGTCTTCTTTAAGACACATCCCCCTGAGACACACACATCAACAGCAGTGCAGTGAGAGACCAACAATACACAGAAACATTTCCTAGATGCTTTTCTTCAATTTCATCAAGATCTCCTTTATAATTGACCTGATGTTTATTGTGAGGGAACGGTTATGTAATATATATGTATCAAATTTGCTAAATAAATCAAAAGTTTTTCTTCACTTAAAAAAAAAAAAAAAACAAAAAACAGATCTTACCCTACCTTATACAGTACACATTTGTTTTTCAATCATTGACTTCTAATGTTTTTATAGTAATGTATTATTTAGTATGTATTATTTATTTATTATGTATACACTAATGTATTATTTAGTATCTTTATTAAGTGACACTGTCATTGCGGGCATTCTCAAATTTCAGGTTGATATCCAAACCAGTGTTATTTTACTATTATCTATATACAAATTTATTCATATTTTGAATTCGCTTTTATTTTTATATTTTCTTTTTCTCACTTTTTAATTGAAGTAATTTTGTATTTCAGTTTAGTTTTTTATATTTCAGTTTTCGTAATTTTAGTACTTCAACTAATTTTATTTAGTTGCCAGATCAACATTTCTACTTTTGGTTTGAATTCTTAAGTTTGTTGTTTTTAAATCTAAAAATAAATAAAAAATAATAATAATACACAGTCGTGCTCACAATGAATGGCACCCGTGGTAAATATGATCAAAACTTTCTGTAAAAAATAAATCTGTTTTGTTCATCTTTTTGATCTTTCACTCAAAAAAAAAAAAAAAAAAAAAAAAGCCAAAAATCGAACCTTTCATTGAAGTAAAATAATTGAATATGGGGGGAAACACATTATGAAATAAATGCTTTTCTCCAAAATACATTGGCCATAATTATTTGCCCCTTTTATTCAATACTTTTTCCAATCTCCATCTGCCAAGATACCAGCTCTGAGTCTTCTCCTATAATGCCTGAGTTTGGAAAACACCTGACCTGAGATCAGTGACCATTCATTCCTTCATACAGACTCTCTCCAGATCCTGCAGATTCCCAGATCCAGTTACAAGTAAAAATACTCTAAAAGAGCAGTATAAAAGCTGACCTAAGATTTTAAAATGTAGCTTTAGTCAAAAACTCTAAAATGGATTCAGGGTTGCCCGTTTAAAGTGTTTGCGGAGCAGTGTGTGTGTAATAACGGTGTAGTAAGTATATTGAGGAGCTAGCTCTCCGTTTACCTGAGGTGCTTCCAGCCTCCTCGAAATCAATGTTTCCGAGGTGCAAAACCCCAGCCACCACCCTGAACAGGTTGAGCTTCTCCGTGTCGTCCAGACCGATCTTCTTCATGGCCACACACATTCGCTTAAAGTCAGCGTGATCGTCCAGCAGAGGGTCTTTCAGAGGACCGGCCTTCAGAAGCTGAGGAACAACGCTCAACTCAGACTCATGCATGTCGTCAGAACAGAAACATGTGAGCTTATGTTTGCTCATAAAGCACAGCCACTAGAATCAATTCAAGAATCAACCCTATACTGCATAACACCAACTCCTTTAAATATATCCACAAAGCTACATCGAGAAACTCGTGACTGTCGTAGTCTCCATGTCATTGCCTTCAGGTTGTCAACTGAGATCGAATCCAATATGCTTACATGCCGTTGTTGCCAAAGAAGTCAGACTTATCAGCCAGCGTCATCTACAGTTTCATACCAGAACTGGGTATTAAGTTCTTGAATTATCCAAGCGCAGCAGTGGAAGGTTTGGGATTCGTTTGGGCTCGATCCTCATCATCGTTGTGGCGGTCGTCTTTCGGTGACTCTCTTCAGGTGTGAAACATTCAGTGATGACGTCAGGTAAACTCAAACACAATCACGAGCCTGATGTAACTACATGTGGATATTTTTAAATGACATAAATTTTGCATCCCCCAAATGCCTGATAAATAAATGGACAGACAAATTGCTGGCATTATGAATGTGCCTTGTGTTAAAGGGATAATTCACTTTGAAATTCATTTTTGGTATGTTTTAGTTTACCTCAAGGGCATCCAAAGATGTAGGTGTCTTTGTTTCCGCAGTATTTTCAATTTTGATATTTTTAGGTCAAACCGTTATTGTCTGTCAGTCATTTAATGGAGGTCTATGGTCACCACCTCAAAGAGCATGCGCAGAGAAGTCCAGATTAAACATGATTTAATGACTCGTCAATGTAAGTACACATTGATGGCCTAAGACGCGAAACGAGCGGTTTGTGTGAGAGAACGAACAGTGTTTATATCGTTTATATCCACATCTAAGTGATCTGAGGGCGCGGGCGTTTTGTGACTGTGGTTACAAGAGGTAAAAACGATATAAATACTGTTCGTTTTCTCACACAAACCTCTCATTTCATGTCCTTACATTTATGAGTCATTAAATCATGTTTAATTTGGACTTCTCTGCGCATGCTCTTTGAAGTGGTGACCATAGACCTCCATTATATGACTGACAGACAAGAACGGTTTGACCTAAAATTATCAAAATTGAAAATACTGTGGAAACAAAGACACCTACATCTTGGATGCCCTTGAGGTAAGATAAAACATACCAAAAATTAATTTCAAAGTGAACTATCCCTTTAAAAACATGTGACATTTGAAAGGAACCTGGTGGTACACTACTAATATCATTAACCTGAATCTTTAAAGTGCACTATGACTTGCTCAAAATAGAAATATTTTGGATCAAATCATAAACAGGAATATTAAGAGACGAGCATCCCGTTACCCTTATGGAAATGCAAGAAAAGCCAAAAACAGGAGGGAAATGGCAGTTTAGCTCCCAATAAATGAAAGTAACTTCCCATTTTTACAAGACCTGGATCAAATACATTTCACATGTTTTTTTTGTGTTTTTTGAGAATTTAAGTGCTACGTGGCCACGGCAGGAACATGCCGTAAAATTGGATATAATGCAAGAAGGTTAATATGTAACTCAAGTAAAATATTCCTTCAAGTTTGTTAACTAAAGGAACAAGGAAACGATGAGAACCGATTAAAGCTAGTAAACCCACATTCCAAATGGCACAATATTATCATTGTCCTCCAAGAAATACATTGGACCCAGGTCATGTATTTATATCACAAAAGGAGAGAAGAAAACCAAAGTCCCACTGATTGCACAACACACATATTCACCTGCCCATCCTTTGATGAATCAACGACACACAAACACACACACACACACAACCATAGACAACGATGATTAGTGCAGTGATTAGATTAGTACACAATCATGCATCAATTATAAACAATTCGATATACATGGCCATAAGCAACCAAACACTAGTGTAGACACTCGACAAAGGCATATCAGTGCTGGGGCGTATCGTGCCCAAATCAACAGCGAATCACCAGAGACTCTTCTTCCCACGTCACCAATGGCCCTATTGCACCCTCAATCCCAAACTTAGAAAGCTGAATATTTAAAAAATGACAAAACTATGAATTATTTCCAGTAAAATCAATCAATTTTACATGTTTGGTGTGAAAACATGTCAAAGTGGAGGATAAGAATGCTGAAACTGCTTTCCATTGGAATGTACATCTTTAACTAAAACACAACACATCTTTGCTGTTAACTTTTACAGTGCATAGTAACCCTGCATTACAGTTCTAAGCCGCATCGATGGCAGTTCCTCTGATTATACAGAACATTGATAGAAAATAAATGTATTACCTCTGGACTCTTGCGGTTTTGAGGAATCAGCTTCTCCGAATCCTTGGTAGAGAAGTACCTTGTGCATCCTCGACATAGATACTAGATGGAAAAAAACGTGTACAATAAACATGGTTTAGCTAACAGATATCTATGACAATTTCAATAATACAAATTCAACACTTTGCAATCATGATCAACCTGAATATGCCAAATAATAATGGCATGCTAATATAGCACAAATTAAAGGAGTAGTTCACTTTTGAAAGAACTTTTGCTGATAATTTACTCACCCCCATGTCATCCAAGATGTCCACGTCTTTCTTTCTTCAGTTGAAAAAAAAAATTAAGGCTTTTGATGAAAACATTCTAAGATTTTCTCCATATAATGCACTTCAATGGGAACCAAAGGCTTCAAGGTTCAAATGAGAGTTTCATTGCAAACTGTTCAAAGGGCTTTAAATGATTCCAGGCGATGAATAAGGGTCTTATCAAGCGAAACGATCGCTCATTTAAGAAAAAAAAGTTTAAGTTTTGTAAGCTCAAATGGTCGCCTTGCTCTGCTCTGTGTTGAACGAATCTTTATCAAAATGAACGAATCTTTTTTTTTCAACGAATGAAACGAACGAACTGACTCGGAAAAAGATTCGTTCATTTTGATGAACGAGTTCGAACAGGAGAGTAAGGCGAGTAATTGGGCTTATAAAACTTAAACTTATTTATTTATTTATTAAATGAGAGCTATTCATCGTCTGGAAGCGTTTAAAGCCCTTTGAACAGTTCGCATTTTGCACTGAAACTGTCTTTTGGACCTTGAACAGTTTGGTTCCCATTGAAGTCCATTATATAGAGAAAAATCCTGGAATGTTTTCATCAAAAACCTTAATTTCTTTTCAACTGAAGAAAGAATGACATGGACATCTTGGATGACATGTGGGTGAGTAAACTATCAGCAAAAGTTTTTTGAAAAGTGAACTACTCCTTTAAGAACAGACATGTGCCTGTCATAAGTGGGATGCAAATTCAAAAATATATGTTTAAGAAGCCAAATGTCAAAAGAAAGTGGTTTGTTAATATGTTTAATGACAAAGCATACACCAATCCACTGATAATATGCTGATAACTCCCAGAAATCAGCTTAATGAATTACCCCGTCAACCCGGTTAACATGCAAACCATAAACCTGGCAATGCAAGTAAACCACCTTTACAAGACTTCATTAAGAAATCAGGTTATTCCCCGGGATTGAGGTCAGAACCTAACTATTCGTGTCTCTGATTTAGAGGAATCCATTTTTATGTCAGTTTTGATGTTAATTAAAGCATTAAAAACCCAAGAGTATTCCAAAATATCAGCGAGAAGCTCACAGACCCATATTCTCCTCTTACACAGTTACGGATTGACACAGCATTTTAACTGCAGCACTTCTGCACAAGATGAGAACACTTCTCAGGTCAAAAATCGATTGGTTTACGCTTAAGCTGTTTATGACCATACTCCGGTAAAGGAAAACGGGTTAATGCCTTTACATTAGCTTGTGCATTGATGGATTGGGTTAAGAACATTAATGTAAACACTCATTATTGAGTCATTTAGACCCCGTTTACACCTGTTATTAAGATGTGTTTTGTCGACAAATAGACGAGGGAGACACATTCCCATTCACACCTGGTGTTTAATCCATCTCTTTTGTCCGCTTTCAAACACTTGAAAAGCCTGATTTCTTCGAGCGGAGGGTCTATGGGTGGGTAAAAGTTTTTTTGGTTTTTTTTTAGATCTTTCAATCTAATGGACAAAATAAGCTCATGCAATTTACATATGCATGTTAAGAGTATTCAGAGTAGGACTGTCAAACGATTAATCGCGATTAATCGCATCCAAAATAAAAGTTTGTGTTACATAATATATGTGGGTGCACTGTGTATAATTATTATATATATATATATATATATATATATATATATATATATATATGAAGAGTTCAGATGCAAAAGCCTCTAAGTGCCATTTTAAATTTTCTTCTAGAATGATCATTTTTATCAAGCTTGTATATCTAAGTTCAGTGATTTCACTTAAATGGCAATGATAATTACCTATTAATTGATATTTAAGTGAAATTACTGAACTTATATATACAAGTTTGATAAAAATCATCATTAAAGAAGAAAATTTCAAATGGCATTTAGAGGCTTTTGCATCTGAACTCTTCATATATATATATATATATATATATATATAAATAAACATCTTTAATAATTTTTTATTTTAGAAAATATATTTAAGAAATATTTTCATGTATATAGATTTATATATGTCAAACGATTAATCGCATCTAAAATAAAAGTTTGTGTTACATAATATACGTGGGTGCACTGTGTATAATTATTTTATATATATATATATAAATAAATAAATACACATCTTTAAGAATTTTTTATTTTAGAAATTATATTTAAGAAATTTTCATGTATATAGATTTATATATAATTTATATTATTCTTAAACATACAAGCATGTGTGTATGTATGTGTATATATACTGTGTATGTATATATATATATATATATATATATATATATATGAAGAGTTCAGATGCAAAAGCCTCTAAATGCCATTTGAAATTTTCTTCTTTAATGATGATTTTTATCAAACTTGTATATTTAAGTTCAGTAATTTCACTTAAATGGCAATGATAATTACCTATTAATTGATATTTAAGTGAAATTACTGAACTTATATATACAAGTTTGATAAAAATCATCATTAAAGAAGAAAATTTCAAATGGCATTTAGAGGCTTTTGCATCTGAACTCTTCATATATATATATATATGTGTGTGTGTGTGTAGTTTTATTTCTTCAAAATTCTTTGAGGAATAAAAAGTTCTAAAGAACCACATTTTTTATTTTTTTCCAGTAATGTTATAAAACATTATAAATATCTGTACTGTCAATTTGGATCAGTTCAATGCATCCTTGCTAATAAGTATTCATTTATTGGTAAGCCTTTTTTTAATAAGGTCTCAAATCCATTTTTTAATTAGTGTTTGGAATATAATATTAAAGAAAATGCAGTGGGAAGATAATGACAGTAGCTTTAATATGCACAAAGGTCGGATGTTCTAAAAATAGGTGTGTGTGAGTTGTGAAGGTCTCACCTCTTTGAGAATGCGCTCATTAAAGAACTGCTGCAGCTTCTCATTACAGTAGTTGATGCAGAACTGCTCGAAACTGTTGTGCTCAAAATACTCTGAGGGAAAGGAACAGAACAATTGGCTTTTACAGTTCGTTAGCTTCAATTCTGATATACGGAAAGCTAAATGGCAAATATTTCGTTACATTTTAGATGTTGTGCTAGTGTTTTTTTGTTGTTTTAAAGATTGAAAGTTCATCCACATGGCATTAAAGGAGTAGTTCACTTTAAAAAAAAACAAACTTTTACTGATAATTTACTCACCCCCATGTCATCCAAGATGTCCATGTCTTTCTTTCTTCAGTCGAAAAGAAATTAAAGAAAGGTTTTTGATGAAAATATTCCAGCATTTTTCTCCATATAATGGACTTCAATGGGAACCAAACGGCTCAAGGTCCAAAAGACAGTTTCAGTGCAAACTGTTCAAAGAGCTTTAAACGATTCCAGACGATGAATAAGGAGCGAAACGATCGCTCAAGTTTTATGAGCTCAAATGCTCGCCTTGCTCGCGTTCGTGACTCTCCTGTTCGAACTGGTTCATTCAAATGAACGAATCTTTTTCTGAGTCAATTCGTTCATTTTGTTCGTTTCGTTCGTAGAATGAACCCAATGACACGAAAAAAAGATTTGGCAAATGAGCGATCGTTTCGCTTGATAATACCCTTTTTCATCGTCTGGAACCGTTTAAAGCCCTTTGAACAGTTTGCACTAAAACTCTCATTTGGACCTTGAACCGTTTGGTTCCCATTGAAGTCCATTATATGGAGAAAAATCCTGGAATGTTTTCATCAAAAACCTTCATTTCTTTTCGACTGAAGAAAGAAAGACATGGACATCTTGGATGACATGGGGGTGAGTAAATTATCAGTAAAAGTTTTTTTTTTTTTTAAAGTGAACTACTCCTTTAATGCCATGTGGATGAACTTTCAAATTCCATATCATGCTGATAAAATCTTTAAAACAACAAAAAAACACTAGCACAACATCTAAAATGTAACGAAATATTTGCCATTTAGCTTTCCGTATATCAGAATTGAAGCTAACGAACTGTAAAAGCCAATTGTTCTGTTCCTTTCCCTCAGAGTATTTTGAGCACAACAGTTTCGAGCAGTTCTGCATCAACTACTGTAATGAGAAGCTGCAGCAGTTCTTTAATGAGCGCATTCTCAAAGAGGTGAGACCTTCACAACTCACACACACCTATTTTTAGAACATCCGACCTTTGTGCATATTAAAGCTACTGTCATTATCTTCCCACTGCATTTTCTTTAATATTATATTCCAAACACTAATTAAAAAATGGATTTGAGACCTTATTAAAAAAAGGCTTACCAATAAATGAATACTTATTAGCAAGGATGCATTGAACTGATCCAAATCGACAGTACAGACGTTTATAATGTTTTATAACATTACTGGAAAAAAAAATAAAAAATGTGGTTCTTTATAACTTTTTATTCCTCAAAGAATTCTGAAATAAAACTACACACACACACACATATATATATATATATATATATATATATATATATATATGAAGAGTTCAGATGCAAAAGCCTCTAAATGCCATTTGAAATTTTCTTCTTTAATGATGATTTTTATCAAACTTGTATATTTAAGTTCAGTAATTTCACTTAAATAACAATTAATAGGTAATCTTCATTGCCATTTAAGTGAAATTACTGAACTTAAATATACAAGCTTGATCAAAATGATCATTCTAGAAGAAAATTTCAAATGGCACTTAGAGGCTTTTGCATCTGAACTCTTCATATATACATAAATAAATAAAATAATTATACACAGTGCACCCACATATATTATGTAAACACTAACTTTTATTTTGGATGCGATTAAAAAGCGTTTTTTCAACTACTTCTGGAAGTGTTGGAGAGTGGACAAGCTCAAAAACATTTCCGACCCCGTTTACACCTGTATTTAGTGTCGTCCACTTGATGGACCAAAAACATCTACACACCAGGTGTAAACAGGGCCTATTTTAAAGAAGTTGAAGTGTATCGGGATTCACACACCCTGAAACAGTCTGGAGAGCTGAGGTGGAACTTCTCCTTGATGTCTTCAGGAGCTCCAGCGCACAGCCTGTAGAAGATGTGATAGTTCCTCTCCTCCTGACCCTGCGTGCAGATGCGGGACTTCTCCAACAGGTAATGGGACACAAAACCACCTACTACTGTGTTCTGCAAAACAAATCAGCACTGCATGCAAAGAAATGTCTAACAAATTCATTTACGAAATCACACAGTTTCATCACTACTCACTATCTGCATTGCTGGCTAAAAAGCATCACATTTATCTGAGTCCAGTGAGACTTTTGCACAAGACGCACCTTTTCATTAAAGTGAATCTCCACAAACTTCCCAAAGCGACTGCTGTTGTTGTTTCGGACAGTTTTGGCATTTCCAAATGCCTCGAGCAGAGGGTTTGCTAGAATTGAGTGATGGAAAAACAGTTTCTTCGTTATATTTTCTATGACTTACATTAGTTCAAGTATAGTGGGGTACAGATTCAAGCGTACCTTCAACTATTCTTTCATCAATGTCTTGACCTGTACCGTAAGACGTAGTTAAGTACCTGCGAGAGAAAAGAACAACCATCCCACATTAAATTAAACATATTCAGAATTCCTCAATTCATATCGTGTACGTATTTAGTGTTAAAGGGATACTCCACTTTTTTTTGGGAAATAGGCTCATTTTACCACTCCCCCAGAGTTAAACAGTTGGGTTTAATCGATTTCGGATGTATTCAGACGATTTTTTTGATATTTAGAAGAATATCAGTAACCATGCAGTTTCTGGTCTCAATGACTTCCATAGTATATTTTTTCCTACTCAACTGTTTAACTCTGGGGGAGTGGTAAAATGAGCATATTTCCAAAAAAAAAAAAAAAAAAGTGGAGTATCCCTTTAAAACCAAAGGATTGGAGTGTTATATATAGAAATACATATCTTCCTTATACTCAAACTATTTTATTGCTATGTAAATGAGACATTTCTATACCTGAGAACAAACTTGGTGTTTTCGGTTTTTCCAGCTCCTGACTCTCCCGACACAACGATGGACTGACTCATCTTCAACACCTTCATGTCACGATACGTTTTATCCGCTAAACATAAATAATAGGTATGAGTATATACAGGGAGTATATCAATTGATATATATATACTGTATATATATATTCGGTCTGTCAAACGATTAATCGTGATTAATCGCATCCAAAATAAAAGTTTGTGTTTACATAATATATGTGGGTGCACTGTGTATAATTATTTTGTATATATATATATATATATATATATATATATACACAGTGTATATATATATATAAATACACATATAAATACACACACATGCATGTATATACAAGAAAAAAAAATATTTATATATAAAATATTTATATTTAATATATATATTAATCTATATACAGTATATGAAAATATACTGTACATGAAAATATATATATATATATATATATATATATATATATAAAGAATTATACACAGTGCACCCACATATATTTTGTAAACACAGACTTTTATTTTGGATGCGATTATTCACGATTATTCGTTTGACAGCCCTAATATATTTATATATATGTATGGATATATATATATATATATATATATATACACACACACACACACACACACACACACACACACACACACACACACACACATATATATATATATATATATATATATATATATATATATATATACACACATACACACACACACACACACACACACACATATATATATATATATATATATATATACACACACGTTTTTGAAAAAGCCTTCAAAAAAAACACTAAGACATGTTACATTTCACCCCATAATCAAGCAAAGAAAAAAAAAAAAGGAGTAAACCACCCCTTTAAGTGCCCCTATTATGCTTTTTCCAATATGATCCTTTCATGTAGTGTGTGATGTAGCTGATTATGAATGTAAAAGGCTTCAAAGATCAACATGCACGGAGAATAAAGCTATTGTCTCCTAAAGAAAGAATCGATTCAGAACTGTTGAAACGATTCATCAGTAATTCCAGTGTCACTTCCTGTTACAAACCTACATTACAAATTTGCATAAAGCCAGCCTATGGTCTTCATTGGCTATTGTAGCACAGGCACTGTAGTTGTTTCAGAGACTGGAAGAGTTTGGTTCATGTTGTCGACTGTGCTACAAAAGCAAACACACTTTTCACTCTCTTCCAAAGACTCTCGCTGGAATTGATACGGTAAAACCGACCTCATCATTTCGGTTCATATAAGCCTCTGGAGACAAAATTCAGATATGGTAATAGGTGTTTTGTTTCCGACACGTGCTCTAAGTGTTCGACCAATCACAACAGACTTGATAATCTGACCAATCAGAGCAGAGTAGACCAATCACAACAGACTGGATCATCTGACCAATCAGAGCAGAGTAGACCAATCACAACAGAGTGGATCATCTGACCAATCAGAGCAGACCAATCACAACAGACTGACCAATCAGAACAGAATAGGCTCTCAGAAAGGAGGGGTTTATGCTGTTTTTTGACCAAGGATTCATGTAAATCTGTTGTAGGAACCTTTAAAATAGCATAATTGGGGCACCATAATATCACTTCCTTTGCGTTAAATGTAGCATGTAGGGTCACGGCCACCTACCAATTGCATAGACGTGAGGTGGCAGAGTGCCCAGCGATCGGCCCTGGTACTGCTTGATGCTCTCTGGGGAATACAGCTTGGGAATCTCACAATATGGATTCACAGCAATCAGGATGTTGGCAACAAATGTCTAGAACACAAAATAACATAAACAGCAAGACAGGAACCAATGAGAAGAGAAACCAATCAGAAGAGAAGTATGCATTGGCAACAAAGAATATACTCACATAAATCTTATCTTTACTATAGCGCACACGGACATTATTTAAAAGCGTGGCTTCATTCAAGTACATCAACGAGCCTGTAACACACACACACACAAAACCATTAGTGAACAATGGTATCATTTCATCCAACACATGACCAACATGTTCATCTCAAACACATTGACACTTACAGTTGTCCTCCACATGTTTGTTGACGTCATCTTCAGCAGGGAAGACTTGATTGACAGAAGCTTGAAAGGTCTGGAACAGAGAAATGACTCGTTAACCGTACAGCACACTACAAGCCTGTGACAACCTGTGTGAAGTGCCACGCGCTTACATGCACAATCATACAACTCTCTGCTTGCACGTAACGTTAACGAGCACTTTAATCATCTGGATTCTACAAGTCAGTGGAAAAAAAGTGAGCAGTATTTGGAATCATGAAGCTCAGGTGTTGCTAGGGAGTTGTGGAGGGTGGCCAGGGTGTTGCTAGGGAACTCTATGCAGTTGCTTATTAATTGTGGTGACTAATTTGTGGCGTTCACAGTGTTTTTAGCATGTTGCTAGGGGGTTCTGGACGGTTTCTAAGGTGTAACTAGGTGTGTGCAAGTCAATTCTGAATGACAGAAAAAAATAGCACTTCTCTTCAAAAAGCTGCACACTTTAAATGGTTATTTATTTCTAAAGCACAGATGCAGGATTAGTTACATGCTGAAGCTTAAAGGGAAAGTCCACCCAAAAATGAAATTCTGTCATCATGTTGTTCCAAACCCATTCGACTTTCATTCATCTTTGAAACGTAAATAAAGATATTTTACTGTAGTTTGAGAATCCACTTCACCAAAACAATAATGACTCAAAGTTTATAGAGAGATGGTAGAGGACATTGTTTGATGTGCTTTATATGGCAAACACACACAGTAAACGAAAGCTCAACCGTATTTTCTTGATGTGAACACAAACCTCAGTGGCTCTCGTGCGTCAAGAAATAACAGCTGAGCTTCTGTTGACTGTAATTGAATTTGACTGTTGCCTATATTAAATATGTTCATCATATAAAGTAGGGCTGGCCATTGACAATTTTTACAATTTGATTTACATTTTCCCAATTAAATCCCAATTAAATTAAAGGGTTAGTTCACCCAAAAATGAAAATTATGTCATTAATTACTCACCCCCATGCTGTACCAACCCCGTAAGACCTTCGTTCGTCTTCGGAACACAAATGAAGATATTTTTGATTAAATTTGAGAGCTGTATAACTACCACATTGGCTCCTAAAGGACTGCCTCTTGACGGCCCAGAAAGTCAATGAAGAAAATGTTTAAATATCCCAAGTGACTACCGTGGCTCAACTATATGTTTATCAAGCGACGCGAATACTATTTGTGCGAAAAAACAAACAAAAATAACGAGTTTATTCGACTATTTCTTTTCTTCCTTGTAGGCCAGAAACGAGATTTCCACGACATATGCGCGAGAATTGCGATCTGAAGTAGTCTAAAGCAGATCGCAAATCTCGCGCATGCATCGTGGAAATCTAAGGAAATCTCGTTTCTGGCCTACAAGGAAGAAAAGAAATAGTCGAATAAACTCGTTATTTTTGTTTGTTTTTTCGCACAAAAAGTATTCTCGTCGCTTGATAAACATATAGTTGAGCCACGGTAGTCACTTGGGATATTTAAACATTTTCTTCATTGACTTTCTGGGCCGTCAAGAGGCAGTCCTTTAGGAGCCAATGTGGTAGTTATACAGCTCTCAAATTTAATCAAAAATATCTTCATTTGTGTTCCGAAGACGAACGAAGGTCTTACGGGGTTGGTACAGCATGGGGGTGAGTAATTAATGACTTAATTTTCATTTTTGGGTGAACTAACCCTTTAAAGGTTAAAAGAAGAAAAATATAATGGATTTGTAATATTGCGCACATATTTAGCAAAATGCTCCTCTTATGGTGCGTTTACACCGGGCGCGAATAGCGTCCTTTATATTTCATTGTTTAAGTCAATGCAAAGACGCGTTACGCGCGTAAAAAATTCATGCGGCGCGAATACGCCTCATTTCGCGCGAATTGAGCGTCTGGCGCGATTGATTTAGTTAGTACTATTTGTGCATTCACGCGCAGCTCCTGGAGCGAGCAAATGGTGAAACTCGCCAAACGGTTCACCTCCGAAGTGTCCGGTGGACACAATGATCCCCGACAATGATCCCCACGCCGCTGTTCTGCTCTCCAGAGTAAATACAGAGCAGTGACTCTCTCGATGTATGCTCGGTCGTCATAAAAACAATGGCTGCCAACAGATTTCGATTCTGACGCGCGTCATCTGCGTACATTTCGCTTCAAACTTTTGTTTTTACGCGCGTTAGTTTTACTCTTGACACGCGAATTAACACAAAGTGGTCAAGCGTCAAACTAGACGCGTCAGGCACGAATTTGATGCGCTATTCGCGTTCGGTGTGAACGCTGCATTAGTGTTAATGTTTCTAGTTATTGAGCTATAGTTGGTCACTGACTGGCTTTTCTGAGGTGAAAAAGATATGGGATCACATCTTTCTGCAGTTGAAACACTGATTGAGACATGATACAGATTTCACCATACCTTCTAATGTTCATTCATGTTTATTTGGTGCTGTAACTAGTAAAGAGGAAGAGATGATCGGATCAACTGAGGCGCTACAGAGATCTGTTGTGTAAGAATTGAGGTAAAAATATCCAAAAAAATGAGCTACACGCATCAAAAGAATGAGAAGAAATAAGGTTGATGATGTCATTAAAAAACTGACAAGTTATAGTGCTGCCAAGATATTAACCTGAATTAGCATGCTAAATTACTAGCCCCGGCCCGGCAGGTGTCGTAATACCAATTTCGGCCACGGGAGGCGGTATGCGGGCGGGCAACATAACCACCAGACAAACTGCAGTACACGAACAACCCGCATGGCTTGTGTGTGTACTTGAACCTGATGTCAACCGTGTGGAAATACAGCCCACTACTACATTTCAGTTCAGGGAAGAGTTCAAAAAATGATTGGTCGACATTATCCATGAGGAATACATTTTTGTAAGTTGTAACATACTGTATCTTTCATCAGTGTTCGTGTTCTTTTACCATTAGCTAGTAGAGATGATCGGTTCACGTGCGCTAGGGATCTGTGGTGTAACATTTACAAGCGCCAAAACGGTATTTATTATTTGTATTGTGTAATAAAATTGACAGAATCTGAGATTTTTTTATATTTCATAACTAACCTGCTCTGTCTAGTTTGTCGGTCTCCGTGTCCTTTTCTGTGCATGATAAAAATTGATGTGTGGCGTGAGAGTGTGTGAAGTGTCGATTGCGTGTCTCACGGTGAATTCGTGAGAGTTGGCAGCTCTGAATGGCGCTAGCTTGGTCAACATTAGCGAATGCTGTCTGTCAAATTAATTCCAACTAATAATAAACATATATGAACAAAACGAATACCGTAAAACTTCAAATAATAGCCCGGGCTTTTATTTTCACATATCGTCGAAATGTAGCGGCTTGTATTTGAGACAGGCGTCTACGAGACGGCCTTTATAATTCAGTGTTGAGATGTTGTTCATTGAGTCTCTAATCTCGAAAAATCTCCAAATGCTCCACGTGAAACTGCGGTCTTCCAACCTTCGCGTCAATTGATTTGATTAATATGCTCAAGGGAGAAAGAGCAAATCAGCGCTCGCTCGTGTTGTTTGAAGACGTGAGAGTGCGCACGGCCGCGGCACAACTCACTTTCTGGAGGTACACTGCCCCCATCTGGTATGGAATAAGTAGTATGATTTTTTTTGACATATGGCACTTTTAAGTTGTATTTATTGTTTCGCGATAAAATTGATTGAATTTGAAATTGAATTTGAAATCTGAAACTTGATCTCTAATCTAATCTCTAATCACGTTGTGTTCACGCATCAACTGAAAACAGCAAAGAGTAAAAGATCAACCATTAGGATTTAAGAATTGATATGACAATCGATTAAAATCGAGAAAGCAATATTTTCAACCCAGCCCCAATACAAACCGAGATCGAGTCTCTTCTGAAGAATCGGACTAAACCACTTCCTCATGTCTTTTTACGGTCACTTTATGAACTCTTTAAAGCATCAATCATCTTAAATCATTTGTGTTCTGAAGATGAACGAAAGTCTTACGGGTTTGGACTGACATGAGGGTGAGCAGTTACTGTTAGAATTTAAATTTTTTGGGTGAACTATCCCTTTAACACTAAGGGCCCGTCCACACGAAGACGCGTTTCGCTGTATACGTATGATTTTTTTGTCGTATTGGCGTTTCGTCCACACGGATCCGGCGTTTTGAGAGAGTAAACCCGCTATTTTTTTTAAACCAGGTCCCAAAGTGGATAAATCTGAAAACGACAACTTTGCAGTTTCGTGTGTACAGCCAATCCGTATATTTTGTGAAACGATGATGTCATCACATCACGTGTCGGCTGCGTCAATGCCATCTTCGTCTTCATGGTTCGTATACACCGTGCAAGGTTATGCGCATGCTCAATGTCTTCTTCTACATGTACAGTGTATCTCTGTGGAAGAATTACAGTGCCCCATACTGGTCTGGCATATATACTACATATATATATATGAGTCATTTGAAATTTTCTTCTAGAATGATCATTTTTATCAAGCTTGTATATTTAAGTTCAGTGATTTCACTTAAATGGCAATGATAATTACATATTAATTGTTATTTAAGTGAAATTACTGAACTTAAATATACAAGTTTGATAAAAATCATCATTAAAGAAGAAAATTTCAAATGGCATTTATAGTCCAGGCAAAATAGCCCATTTTGGAGCCAAAAATAGAACTAATTGTAAAAGAATTTTTTTCAGCATAGATCATTTCTATGAGGTGTCCAGAACAACATACTAAAAGTCCTAAGAAATCCTAGTTGAGGAAATATGTTTAATTCTCATCAATCCGAGATGTTTGCCAGTAAGGCCAGACAACAATACACCCCAATGGGGCTATTTTTTTCCTTTACTCCTATCAAAATAAAACTTTATACAATGAAAGTACCCATGAAAAGTAACAAATTTTGTATTACAAGTTTCTTTGAAAATGAATTTTATTATGCAAATGAGCTATACACTAATCGAATATGCCCAAAATACACCCAAATAGGCTTAATTTTTTCCTTTACTCCTACCACAATAAAACTTTACACAATGAAAGTCTACAAGAAAAGTAAAACATTTTGTATTAGAAGTTTCTTTGAAAA